CCCCCCTCCATACAGTCTGGTACTGAGCACTGATTCAAGTTCATAGACCTACTGAAACCATGACCAAGTTGAATTGATCTCAGTCCACAGTCACTGCAGGGTTGTCACGCTTATCTGGAGCAGGAGTATTTCCTATTTATGCAAGTAAACAGATACTTAGAATGAGTAAAGGAAATTGGAAGAAGAATTACTGCATCCTTTTCCAGACAAATGAAGACAGTAAACAGACAACCTTGCAGGGAGAACCTTTGAGCTGTGCTGTTTTCAGTCGGAAAACTCCCTGTGTGCTGCTAGCTCCATGCCACTCCACTTAATTGCCTCAATTGTTGCTGTTATCCTTTAATGGGAAACATAACTCGCTTTCAAAGCAACCACAAGAAGCTGCAGACAGGGGAATCCTGAAGATCAGCAGAGGTGGGACTGCATTACAGCCATTTCCATCAGGCTGAAATTACAGAGTGTACCAGGAATGTCTCTAAATGGCTTCAAGCCAGGGCAGGCGGAAGCATGCCGACACTGAAAGTCAAGGCTAATGGTCCTCTACCTTGGTACTGACCTACCTAAAACTCCAAACAAACAACAGTTCAGACAAAGCATGGCCGTTCTGCTAAAACACAGGCTTGGGATAACGGTGTTCAACCCTGGTTTTACCCACACAACTCCTCAGGCTTTGGGTATATCACAGCTTCTCTCCATTTGCTTATCTGCAGTAATAGGTAAGAGGCTGATCTTACTCAAGCAGAAGGACTGTGAAGCTCAGTTTATTGTGCTCAGATACAGTGGTGGCAAGCTTCATAAAAAGAACTTGCACACTCCCAACAGCATGAGATACAACTGAAGGATCCACAACTCAACAACAAAGCAAGTCTTCTACCTGATTTTTCTGCTAAGCAAAGGCCACCTCTCTGTACAAACCAATGTTAGCAAGAGGTTTGAAGTGACTACCTGCTTACGGGATAACTTTCAGATCCTTCACCTTTACAGAAAGATGTAAAGAATATTGTGTTTAGAGTTTTTGGGCAGTTTTTCACAGAAATAATTTCTTTCAGTCTAAAAATAATAATAAAGAAAAAACCCAAGACAATATAGGTGGAATGTTTGCCTAGTATTTGCTCTGATCTCCCCAACTCTTCAGGGCCAGACTGAAGTTAGCAATTGGACCAGCTCACTTTCTAGCATAATCTAACACAACTTCGCAGAATGTTTTGTGTTTTTTTTTCTTCCTTTAAGTACCTGGAGGAGAATATCCATGATTGCAAGAACTACCCGTAGTTTACATTTTAGTTTACGAAAGAACATGCTTTGCAGCAGTCCCAGTAAAATTTAAACATGCAAGTCTTTAAGAAGAATGATGAAAAAAATTAGACTCACACTGTCTGATCTCTGGCTAGGGCATTTACATTCCATTTTCTTATCAGTACCATAAATTTTAGTTTCTCTTTTCTGTGTCGTGCTGTAGCCCTGTTACGACAGCAGCATCCATGTGAAAGGGCTGGACAGAAGATTTATGCAGTACTAATTAACCTGATTCTGAGATCTTTCCTGACCAAAAGGTGCTCTACCTGTGAGAAATACCCAGGGTACCAGACATTCATTATGGAGGGTATTCATGGCAAATTTTGAAGGTATTTTAACATTAAAATTGCCCATCTAAATCCACCTGCATGTCTCTCAATACAGCATTTCCCCAGAGTGCTCAATATTCACCAATACAACCTAAAGGCAAAATGAGTTCGAACTACCGAGCATCTCTTAAATCTCACCTTGCAATTATTTCAATATCGGTATCTCCAAGGCCCTTGAGTTTAAAAGGCTCTTGAATTGACAATTGGCAGGGATAAACTAGTTGCTGCAGTAAAGCATGTTTGAACAGCAACAGTGGAAGCATGATGGATGGCAAGAGGTTCAAGAGCAGGAGCTGGAGATGGCAGGAGAGAGTAATTCTGAACATTAGGGCTTGAATTGGCATGTCCTGTAATGAGATGGTGGAGCTGTGAGGAAGGAAAAAGTCAACACATTGTACAGAGAGTTGATGTTAAAAATGTATCCTTAAGACTCACCGCGAGCGGCAGGGCAAGCACCGTGGTACATCACCCCCTTGCTATGCACAAGTAGCAAGGTGTGCCATGCAGACACGCTGCCCTTTTGCAGCTCCGCAGGGACCATGCTGCAGTGCCTCTGCAAACAGAGAGCTGCCACCAGACTGAAGCCCACCATCTCAATGACTCAGCTAAAGCTCTTTTCTCAAAAGCACAATTCTTCAACATTTGCTGTCTCTCTTCGCAAACACAGAAAGGATCTGTTCTCTATTTCTCCAAGATAAATGCTACTGTCAAATCTTGGCAGAAAATTAGAGTAACAACTACTCTCTCCAAAAAGGTGACTGGGATGAATTCGTGCAGAGCAAACTTCTACTTCAAAGACAACCATCCAACTCCAGTTATGAGAAAGTCAAAACATTGACAGATCTTTCTAAAGTACACTGTGGATATTCAAGTTTAACACAGATTTATGTAGCAAAACAACCTGTCACTGCAATTCTCCCTTCTAAATGCATCCACGTTTCCTTGTGCAGCTCCAGAAGTGAAATACAACAAACACTCCATGGATTTACTTTTTAATATACCAATATTAACCTTTTTTTGATAACATATATACAATGAAAAGTTAACAATTATCTTAAAGATTGACAACAAACCCATTCCAAATCAGACATACAAGAATATCTTACTTTTACAGATTTTGCATTAAGAACATCACAATTATAAACGTAGAGGGGAAGGAGGTCACTTTACAAATTGGTTTTTTACAGTCAATTGCCCAATTTTCTCCGTGGCACAAAACAGAGACAAATTACCATCTACATGAGATGGCCCTATAAAAGCAACTGTAAAACGCCAAAGGAACAAAACATGATTGATGGGGTCACTGGGCATTTTGTGGAAGGGGAATCCACTCAGATGCTTTGGGACACAGGCACAAGGACCTGTTGGCTTTTTACTGACCTAAGACTATAGATCAGTTCAGGAAGGTTGGTTAGGCTGTCCCCACCTAAAAATATTCCATCAACTATTTCAAATCCTCTGTGTCTTTTAAGACTGTGCAAAACATGTACTTTCTACTGGCTTACTGAGAAAGAACCAAGAAATCACAGCAGCTTCACAACCCTCTGTAAGGAAGATGTAACTCAGTTAAACTGCTAAGGCCAACTACCAAGCTGAGATCAGCCTCAAAAACCAGCCAAAACTGAAGTGACTACTGCAGTGTCACAGCTACCCTTTTAAAGCAAACTTCTCAAGGGAAATGTGCTGGTATCTCCTGATGCTCAGGCACCAGGACATAAATCAACGGGAAGATTCAGAAAGAAAGTTCATGTGAATGAACCTGAGAGGCTGCAAAGGAGAAACAGCGAGTGACAAACTTTCCTTTATCTTGTGATACCCACTGTGCAGACAGCAGTTGTCACTGCAACACCTATCCTCCTAGCACCCCAATACCCTCTCCCACAGCAAGTCAGGAATGAAACAAAGACTGCAGTGAAAAACATTTACTAGTAATTAAATGTTCCCAGAGAATCGGATGATACAGTTTACAGGCAGATCCCAGGGGAGTTATGAAGTGAAGCATCCCCTCAGAGCTATTGTTCCAATGTGATTTTCATTCACAGCACATCCACTGCATTGGGCAATAAGATAAGTCTTAGTGGGGGTGAGACAAATAGGAGCAGATGTTTCCTGTTTCTAGCCTGACTTTCATTTGGTTTCTGTCACTGCTGCCTATCCAGCTTAGGAGAGGGGGTGAACCGTGATGCCTAACACTTGTCCTATTGTTTGGGGTTTGGCAAAATCTGAGGAATAAGGTTGCTTGCAGTGTAACAGAGAAACAGCCCATCGAGTAGGATGTCTGTGTAACTGGCAGCAATGATGGATTCAAAAGACAGTGAAATCACACTTACCTGGTAACAAACATTTTATCAGTGGAGCTGGAACAGAGATTCGTTTCTCAGCCTAAATTGGGATTGTCTTTATTATCGAAAGGCAGGAGGTAATGGTCCAGGCAATTTCATTTCTAATTTTGCTGCATTTAATTGTCTAATTCAGGTTAATTTCAGTATTGAGAAACAATTCCAATGCTCCTAAAAAATATAAAGCTTCTCCAAAAGCCTTCCTAAGCTGTATGTTTCAGTGGCAGCCTGTGGCAATGGGTTCCTTAGTTAAATTACAAGCAAAGATCCAGCAGTTTTTCCAACAATGGTAATTTACGGGAGTTTGTAAGTGTGCGTTAATAGTGTCTTGCACATACACGTATCCCTGCACACTGAAGGTGTAACTGGGAATTTCTGTAAACTGAAGTGTTTTACAAATCAGTACTACAACACACTGCTTGCTGAAAAGAATTCAGATGTGAAAACCTTATGTCATAGCTGTTGCTCCTATGTATGGCTACGATGTAGAACTGTAACCTGACTGCTGTTTTGATAATGAAAATAAAAAAATACAGTAAGAGTGAAAGATACATCTTTTTCTGTGTAATACAACCAGCTTTGATACAGAATCACAGTCTCTTGCATGGACGTGGCAGAAAACCTGAGATTTACGCAAGAAGAGGCGTAAGCAATTGGAATTCTGTCCCACAGGTCTCTCTGCTTTGAAGGAGACCATCCTCCCAGCTGCTTTGTGCCTCAATTTGCATCAAAATAACTTAAGTAACACAAACTGTTTTGTCCTTTAAACCACATGACAACACACTGATTTTTGTTGGTGATGTTGTAAAAAAAATAAACATTTGTCTCACTATGCAGAAAAAAAAAAGTTTGTTACACAGTTACTTAAGCCAACAATTAAGCTCAGAGGCTCACCAACTGCACAGGCAATAAGCTCCTCCCAAAAGAGAGCAGCTACACATTGCAGACAGTTGCTTTGAATGGATGGATGCTTACAAACCAGAGAACTGCAGCACATTCGATAGAAGAGATCAGTCCTGCCAGCCAGACCACATGGAGTGAGATTCTGTTTAATTCTTCCAGGTGCATAGCCTCCTTTGGAGAAAAGTGTGTTTGACATTTATGGGAGGACCCATGAATAGATTCTATCCTGTGTGAGCAACAGAGCAGCAGTTGTTCAGCTTTCCATTACATCTTTGTGCAATGTAAAGGGGAGATAACATACCAGAATACAACATTAATTCCCATCTCCCTCAGATGTTACCCCCTCTCTAGCGACTTTTTTCTTCAGGGCCTTATTTTCCTCATAGCACCTTTGCGGCCGTCTTTTTCATCATTCAGGTTTGTCTCACAGCTGTCTTTACAAGCTGCCGATATTGGGAAAGCTCTTCAGTTTCTCAGGAAAGTCATCTTTGTACAGAACAGGGTCAGCACGGTGCTCCACCACTTTCAGAGGCATGGTCCCAAAGACAGAGGCAAACTTATTGATGCATTCAGATCTGGTAAAAGGGAAAGCAGTTTAATTAAGAACCCAAACAACTGGGCTGGCTACCAGCTCCCACATCAGCATAACTGGTAAAAACCTTCCCTCATACTCTTGGAAGTATTTCAGCCATCCTGGCTACTAGTAAATAAAAAGAGAGCCTCACTGCAGAGAGAACTGAAAAGAAGCTGGTGTTCTTTGATTTATCCATTTAATCACAGAGACGAGCAAGGGGATGCTGGCAGCAGCACATGTGCACATGGAGGTCAAAGCTTTCCTTCTCCCTCCCCCTAGAATTCCAGTCATTCTTAAAGCAATGTACATGCTGTAAACCAGAACAGATTAACTGCCAACATGGCTCTTAAAGGGCCACTGTTGGGTCAATTTGGCTCACAACGAAGGTTTTGCAAAAAACAAGCCTTTGTGAAAATGGAGTTCTTAAAAAAAAAAAAAAAAAAAGTCTCTTTTTTTCCAGGCTTCTTCAGAGGCTCTATCTTTTCCCACAAAAATAAACATGCCTCAGCGTATAGGCAGTGCTGATTGTACTGTAACTTAAAAGTGAAGCTGAATAAAAACTATAAAATGAAACCAACTACTTTATTTTCCTTGTCTAAATAAAGAGATACTGAGCAATAAGACATCACATTAGCACAAAAAAGATCGGACCATTGATGACTCTTTCAGTTTTAATAATCTCAGGTGTCAGTAATGCTGTGGAAGGGAAGAGCCATGTGCTTCAAAAAACAAGCAAACAGATGTTTAACCTTACATCGCTCCCTTAACTTTTTCACTGAAAGGCACAGTACCTGTGGAAGCAAGGCAGGGAAAACTTGGCTCATTTCACCTCAGCCAGCACTCAGCTAACATCAGATGCATATTTTGTAAAACAGCTTTTAAGACCTTCAGATACCAAAAATTGTGACCACAGTCCCCAACACACAACATGAGACAGCTAGAAGAAAACGGGTCACATTTCTTTTGCCATTCAAAAGGGAAAACAAAAAAGAAATGAGTACTTTGACTCAGCTACAGAGGCTGACATGCTGCAGGCAGTCACAGAGAAGGTCTCTCGCTATCCAACCACTGCACCCTCTCCCGACCCCTTCAAAGGGTTAGGGGGTCACTATGGCTCCAGGATAATTTTCCTCAACAGACCCGGTCAATCATACCAACCGAGTGTGACAGTTTTGTGATGGGGACTGCTCAACACTGCCCCAAACACTCTTTTGAAGTAGATGGGACAGCAAGACTGGTTTTCAAAAGTAATTCTTCAGCCTCTGAGCAATCCCATGGCTCCCTCCTTAACTACAGTAAATGAATGGAAAACATAAAGCCTAGGTTGTTAAAGTGCTACATCTTTACATAGCTGTTTCAAGCTATAATGGTCGTATTTCAGGCCATTTTCTTGCCTGAGAAAAGTGTGAGAAAACTACTTCATATAGGTGATACTTGAATAAAATATTTAATACAGGTAACTGCAGATATTTCACTTTCTACTACCTTCTCATCCCCTCATACTTCTTCCTACCTCCAAGATTCACATATTTGGACTAGGAAACAAATGAAAAGGAACTCAGAGTGCAAGAGGAAACCGTGTGCAAGGGAAGCAACCTCTAAACCTGGCACAAGCACTATTTGCTCCAGGGTAGCACAGATCTGAAACAGCAAAGGAGCCATCAGTCAGCAAAGAGACCCAAGTAGCTGTTCAACGTCTGCAGTAACAAGGTGAACCATTGAGAGGGTGAGCTTTGGGCCCAGGGCGCAGACACGTTACAATAACAGGCAGAGCAGGAACCGAGTGTTTTCTTCAGGAACACTAAGTAGTTTCTGTTGCCCTCGTGAGGTGCCCAGCATGAGATACCTTAAAGTCATCTGATTCTCAGATAAGGTCGGATTTCCAAATCATCTGTTACTTCTGAGAAATGTGGCTATCGATAATCCAAGTTGTGAGTACCGGAGAAGTCTCGTGGCAGGAAAAGCACAAACTTCACAGGCGAGGAGGTAGATGCACTGGGAGATGTGCATGTGAGAAGTTTGCACAGCTGCTGGCCCTCACTGGTCTTCTGGAATACAAGAATACTTCTAGTCTACTGGTTCAAATCCTGCCTCTGCCAGTAATGACTGAAAGACATTGTAATGTAACAGCTGCTTGGTGGCCGGTGTGAAATGAATTCGTTATCTCAGCCCACTGCCTGGTAGGCAGGTGTCCACATCAGATCAGCCATTGTCACAGCCGGAACTAAGCGGCACCCTCAGAGCACAAGACAAAACTAAATGGATAGTGGAGACAAAATTGACCTCTTCCCTCCAGAGGTTATACTCCCGAGTCAAAGATGAGGTCTTATGAGAAAATATCAAGATGGAATCCTTCTACAGCCAAACTTATTCTGATGGCAAGACCATTCAAGCATAGCTGTACGATATCTTTAATGACCAGAAACCAGTTCATTGTTACAGAAATGAAAAAATGAAAAAAGTAAAAATCAGTATGTTCTAATCATTCTGGCTGAATCAGAAAAGTTAGTCCTCAGGAAATATCAAAGATCAGAAACAGGCGTTTTGAGATGAAAGACATGTCACACACAAGCCACAAAATGTGTTCGAAGGAAAGTTGCCTGTTTCCAAAAATTTCATCTCCTGCACTGAACTAAATCACTTGAATTCCAAAGTCTTTGCCACTTTTGGACAATATAAACCAGAAAGGATATCTAGAACATTAAACATTCAAAGCTAGGTAGCCAAGAGAATGTAACATGTCATCTGAACATGGAGGGAAGGTGTTTTTCTTGGCTGTGTCAATAGTTTTGCAAATTCATACTAGCAGAGGCACGTTTGCATCCAAGAATTATTAATTTTTTTCCTTGCTCTGCCAACAACACACAGTTGTGCTCTACAAAGAATTAAGATTGTGTGAACTGAGAAATTAAGAGCCCTGTTGCCCCTGGCAGACTGGGTGAACTTCATGTCTGTTAAGGTCTCTCTCAATCAGTTTCCTTTCCCTTATAACCCAAATATTTTTTGGCAGGGTAACTGCAGCTGCAGTCTTTGGCCAACTGTTACCTGGTCAGTTTGCCTCTTAGGGGAATGGCTTCCTATTTTCACTGTAACAAATATTTACATGTCCCAAATAAAACACTGCTGTTAATGTTGCTGCAGAAGCAACTCAGCCCTTTGTTGTATCTACTGTACAACTAGTTGCCCTCTAGGCTGCATTTTACAGAGTTCTCCATTTTTGAGAGCCAGATGCAAAGATGCTAAATGCAGAAAAGTTGTTGCTACTGAAACAGCACTTGTAAATATAGGGATTATGAGATCCTCCTACAGCTTCTGCGATTTAATGTAAATGCTAACCTAGGGCAAGAAGGGATTCTTGGTTCAAAGCTTTCTGTAGTTAATGTATTTTAATGATGGAGCTTGATAACCCTGGGGACTGAAGTCTTTTATTTCTCTCAGAGAAACTGCACATCAGGAAGAATAGCAGCATTGGCTTTCCCATGATTCACTGTAAATATTCTTGAGTATTGGTAAAAAACCCCTAAATCTCTTAATAAGAGACAGAATTCAGCTGTACCATCTTTCCTTTGTCTCTACTGAGAGTGTCAAAGGCCCAACAGAACTGGTTAGTTAAAAGTCTCTCCCGGACAGACCTCCACAACTGACTTCTCAAACCTTTTACACGTAGAAAACAATCATCAGGCAGTTGCTGGGCATCTCTCTGCTATTTCTGAACCAGAAACCTAACACTAAATGTTGTGCATGGCCATGACAACCCTGATAAACTGTTTGTTTCACAAACAGTAGGTTGATCCCTGGATATCCAGGCAAGTAATTAGCTTGGACTACCTGCTCGCTATTTCTGAATGCTAAAAAACAAGGAGTCCGGCACTTTGGGAACCTGCAAGTGAAGCTGATAATGGCTTTTTGGCTGATACCCCTGGTATTGTTCTCAGTACCCAATACTGCAAAGTTATCTGTGCAATGTTATTCTTTTATGGTATGACAAAGATTCCCTGATGCACGCACTTTTTCCATTCAGCTTCTCTCCTGACCCTGAAAACAGATAGATACACACACACACAATCCTATCTATATGAGCCATAAGAGCCTTACTCACTGGCAAATTAGGAAAATTTGCTCTAGGAGTTGCTATCATTTATTATCCACTTAAAGTGAATAGCTAGCTTAGAAGATTCAAAAAAAGAAACCTTTTCAGATTTTCAAATAACTCCCCTATATTGAAGGTAGATAATTAACAACACATGGCAAGAAGGTATTAGGTGTAGCATTCACTTTCAGTATGATATTAATGATCTTCAAAATGAAGCCTGAATACACCCAAACTGTATATCTCCCCAGATTTTCTCCTGTACCCAGACTCTATCCCAGCATGTACTCCTGTGGCTGGGCAAATAAAAGTATGTGGATTTGCAGTCTATCTAACATTTCCCACAACCCAGTTATCTCCACTGTTGGAAACTACAGAGAAGCAAAGCAACAGTTTAAACATGTTCTCAATAAACTGTCAATGATACTTTACTCTGAGGATACAAGAATTGCTATAGACATGGAAACATGACCTTTACCCTGCATCATAATGCAGCCGGAGCAAAAGGCACTTTTTAATCTTCTGCTTTTATAATGTTTACCTTAATGAGAACCTAGCTCATGACTAAAATTCCTATGTGCTGTTGTAATACTACTAGTATGATCATAGGAAAGCTCAACTGTCTTCAGGTAGTCCATCCTGTAAGCCAGTGCAGAATTGCTAGACACAGGATAACCTCCATGGAGTATGTTTTACATCTGACTTGCGTACTCCTTTTTTTAATCCAGCCTTATTATACATACAGTCTAAATACTTTGTCACTAACCTTGGCAGTTATGCTCTTCAATGCTTGGCATGATGCTTGCTTAATAATCAATCAGCCAAACTATAGATGTATGTGTGTTGTATAATGTGTGTTTACACATCAGACAGATATATGTAAGCACTATTCTTGTAAATAAACTCCCAACCTACTAACCAGTTTTGCATTAGTTCACTGCATACATTACAATACATAAATATCATTTACATTGCTAAAGACCAGTGAATGGATACAACACTTTAGATTTGCTGAGTACTGCAGAGAAGGACAGAAAAAAGCTCACTGTTAAGATGATAACCATAGTAACTGGTAAGATAATCATCTTATGTGTCTCAGTGCAAATATGAAATGGCCTATTTTAAATGCAGGTCAGATTTTTTTAATTTTGTCACCTCTCCTGCTGGTCTCTTTCAGCACTATCGCTACCCCTGCTTACCTACCCCATCGATTCAATGACTGCAAATTATTTTTCCCCATATTTGCAGGAGAGATGCAACAGCCCAAGAAGCCTAAGGTGAAATGCCTTTGTCAGTCCTAGATCTCAGCTTAATTTCACCTAATTACCAGTATGTACATTTATTGTCAGATAATCCTTTTCAAACAAGGGTGTTGAACAGCTTTGTAAAAGTGAAGAAACTTTCCCTTATTTTACACATTCAGAAATCAAGGCAGATGGAAGTTTAGTGTCTTGGTCAATGTTGGGAAGCCATTTTACTGTAAAGCAGGGAATGCAACTCTCATACTTACCGACTTTCAGTATTTCACTCTAAACATTCACTGCCTTTCCAAATACATACTTAATTTCAAAATTAAATTCTCACAAAAATATAATAATGCTGCCATTGTAGAAAAATGTGTCATGCAATTGTGCAGGCAAATGCCTTTCATTAGTGGAAGCAATGTGCTTAACGATCTTTGGAGGAAAGACAATGTACAACCATCAATTCAAATAACATTATTAATAATTTATATCCTTGTTACTCTTTGGTAAGCTAGCAACGGTCTGGTTTAAAAAAAACAAATCTCATACTCATTGCAGTTGATGTTCCATGGTAAACCAGAAATGTGGTGTTACTGAAAGTACTGCCAACAACCTGAAATTCATTTATGTGTCCTATATGCTTTACAGCAAAGCTGCTAAAAATTGTGCCCTTCTAAAGTCCTTTCTTGTCGTAGTCCACTTTTCAGTGTCACATCATCCATCGTAGGAATGACTTATGCTGATCAAATCCAAGTGACATTCTTTCAAAATTAGTAATTTACGGAAATATAATCAGTGAGCATTTCTGATCCTAATTTAGTGAGGCACAGGTTAAGATTTTAGGGATCAGAACGAGGCAATCAGAGGAAAAAAGGGTGGTCACTCACCTTTCCACCATGTGTGTCTGGTCCAGTGATAACCCATCAATTGCTGTGCATTCTGGACATTTGAACTTCTTCCGTGGGGTCACCTGCAGAAAGGCACGCCAGATATCATCAAATATCAACAGAAGGGACATTAATCTCCTTGCACAGAGAGCAGTGCAATACCTCTGAACATGCCTGCAGTGTAAGCTGAGCTCTCAAAAAGGGGGGGGGGGGGGGGGGGTTTAAAAAAAAAAAAAAAAAAAACACCAAAAAAAACCCACCAATATTCCTCCATTCAGCTCCATCTGGCCCGGCTGACTACAAAATTCACAGGGGCCCAATAAAAATGGCTTGGAGGGGTTTTTCCTTCTGTAACTGAAAAGAAGTGGCGATGACAAGCTCCTTAATTCCTGTTTAATGACTGTTTTCTCACTGCCAAGGTCCCTGTATAAACACCATTTGTTCTTGCAGCCATAACAGCGATGAAATATAGCTTCCCATACTTCACCGTAACGTTAATCCAACAGACGCTCTTTTGCTCACTCCAGTTAATAGCTGACTGGCAAACTCTCCAAGACACTCCAAATCGCACAGAGGTGCCAAATTACTCTGCTGTGCCCTCATACAGCTCAAAAACTTTTTCAGCAAAAACACACACTTTATCTTCTAAAGACTTTTCTAGGAAATGCAGCCACCAGTCCCAGTAAATGATGATGGACAGATGGGAAAATGGACCCTGCTAATTGAAGTAACGCCTGGTGGCCTCTAAATCTCATTCCAAGTTGACACACTTTGAAATGAATGTACAGAGTGAATGTCCAGACCTGAAAACGTGTCGAAACATGTCAGGAAATTAATTCAGGGATAAAAAGTTCATTTAAAGCTGATCTTGCAATTAACATTCTTGCAATTAACATTCCTATAAATCAGCTGTTGCCAGGCTATGACAGACCGAGCTGCAGACAGTTGGCAATTTCTTTCCTCTAGTGATCTCAAATAGTTAAAATATATGTATGTGGGCGTGTATATATATACACACACATATATATAGCTATCCTTTAAATTACGTTTTTTTATACCTCATCTAGATGGCTAAAATAACCACCAGAAACAACTGGTAAAAACCAATTCTCTATTCCCAGTTAGCATAAAAGTTTTACTAAAAGGGCTTTTCTACCATGGAAAGAGAACAAGGGGTAAATGAGAGAGAAAGGAAGATGAAGTAATATACTGAAGCCTACTAAATAAATTTATATGAGTATGTACATCATAGTTTTAAACTTTGTAAAGCTAAACTGCAGAAAAGTCCCACCTTAATGACTGATTTGCCAGTGACATTTGCCACTAGAAAATTCATGGCAATATCTTCACAGTTCATATGGGCATCTACCCAGTTCTTGATGTCTCCAGGCATTTTGTAGGTGTAAAGGTAGTTGAAATACTGGAGGATAGGGGGAGAGAGAGAGAAGATAATTTTAAATACAGTAACTATAAGACTCTAAATATTTCAGTCACTGAACAGCAGGCAGTTGAGGATGGATTATGGGCAAACTCTGATACTGCCTTCAGCCAAGGACTACTTTAGCAGATAGAAAATAATTTTTAGGTGCTTAATTGCATAATTACTCCTTTCCTGACCAGCACACAGACTTCTTAACAATCAGTTTTCTTAAACTCCTAGCTATAAAGCTGCATTCACTGTAAAATTCACTATGTAGTTCCAGGTCATGCAGAGACCAGAACTGGCCAGAGTTGGCTAACAGTTCTTCTGTTAGTTCCTGAAGGTAAGGGTTTTACTTTACAGGCAGAGACAAAACAGTTGTTTCAACAGCAACTGAAAAGGAAAGAGGCTTATGGAAAGTTTGCAACTGGATCTCTGTTGTAGAAAACAATCATGGCACCACAAAACACTCACGGATCAATGACAGAAACACATACAGTTCTTTAAAAAAGGTTCATGTTGTACATTAGTATACTACAAGTTGTATATCACCTTGTGATAAAACGCTGCCCCAGTGAGCACCATTGAGACTTCATTGGTCCATTCTGATTCATACTTCCATTTGTTCATCTCATGGTCCCAAAGATGCAGGCGGCCCGGATATCCAACCAACCTGTCCGGGAACTCACGCCAAACCTGAAGAGAAAAAGACGTGACGCTGTGCTAACCAAGCCTGCACAACAAGCAAACACAAATGTGTGGATGCAACAATCTACTTTGGGAGGGAAGAGCTACAGTGGTGGAAAGACCACTTCAATTCTTCTATGTGCCAATTCTTGAAATTGGAAACTGCCTGGAAGAAGGATGAAAAATCCCAAGCTTGCTTTGGATCCTGCAACTCAGGGAAGGAAGCCATACCCCACTAAAGCAATACTAACTTCCTTGTAGAGAAATACAACCAACTATTCAAAAAGATTTTAACACTAACTAAAACCAAGCATGATTGGAATGGAACTTTTGATGTTAACTTCAGTAGAAATGGCTGCAACCTAACTACTTTCACAGCTGGCTTTGGATCTAACCAGCCTGCTTCCTTTGATAGGAACAGGGTTAAAACAGGCTTATATTTTAATATTTCTGGTATTCTTTAGTGGGTGCTCGGATGGATCTACTGCTACATGGAAGGCCTCTTTGCCCTTGACTTGTTCCAGACAGCTGGATACAATCAAGATACCATCCTTGTCACTCCATACATTATTTTGTAGCTGACTACAGGATCAAACACAGTAGACCAGAACAAGGAGAAGGGCATCATTAACACAACCCCAGTTCTCCACACTGCTGGCCACATTAAATAATGGACAATTTTTGCATTACGAAAAAATGGAGAAAGGATTATAATTATTTAGAAGGGTCTGAACGCTATTTGCTTGCTAAATACACAGTATGTCTTTTTGCTGATCAATAACAAAGTTAGTATTTATCTGCATTATTTGCAGACTCATTACTCAAAATTTGTCCTTTAATTCAAATAACTGCTAAGTTTGTTGGAAGAATGCGAGTCTTGACTCTCCGATATGCAGTGTTAGGTCACAAGAGTTTCTGTTTCAGGTTGGTAGTAACAAACACATACCCAAATTTCATTGTGTATGCAAGATCAACAACAGCAACAACAAAATATCTCATAAATCCCCAACAGTCACTTCACTAGCAAACCTCTTTTCTCTGTACAAAAGGCAAGGGAACCCTACAGTTGAATTTGCGGTAAAGAACGTCTTATCTGGAATTCCACCATCCTGCAAACTTCACCTTGTCAGCAGTTCACTTTGGGGACTTTTTACGTGCCAGTATGTTTCAGTTGGGAAGTCTGGATTATAAGGACTCTATGCAAGTATTCTGTCAAAGTAAATATGATAAAGCGATCAGCTTTAAGTTACTGCTTCTGCATCAACATTTCTGTGATTTTGCATTACTATATACCTTTTCATCTATACATCTCAACACATTTTATTGCTGTCAGTTAATACAGCTTCAGAATCCCATGATGAGAGCAGTTATTATTTCAAACGTACAGATGAGGAAACTTGCCAAAAATCATACAGGAAACAAGAATGGGAACCAGATCTTCTGACTCCCCGACTTGTACTTTCTCCAGAAATCAATCTTTTTAGACAGTTCTAGGGCACAAGTACTGGGAGAGTATTTAGACAGGACAACGCTCTAACACAGAAGGCTCTTGAAAGCAGAGATTATTTGGAACTCAAGGAAGAGAACTCATAGGACGTTGTTACAAATTGGTACCATTAGATAACTAAAAAATACAGATTTTCGGCAGGCAAGCCAGTGAGGGCTTGAGATACCTTGAGGTTTTTGTTCTTTATTAATGATTTTGACATCATGTGAAAATACATATGGCAACTTCATCTTCCAAAATTTTATTCTTCACTCTCTAGGACTCAAAAAATCAATGACTGAATTTTAATATTTTTTTTAAACCTGGCTATTAAAACACCCATCTCCCAGCTTTTGGAAGGCACCACCACATAAGCTACCAAGGCTCAACGAAGGATTTGACAGAACAGTACAGATCTGCACCGTACTGGACCAAGAATTCTTGCAGAGGGAATGGCATGCATATTAAAGGCAGCTGAAAGAAAGATTAAACTCAGCTACTGCTTCCCAAGGGACTTCAGTGCCTTCACAACAGACAACTGTAGATTCATATTCCTTCTAGTTTTTGCTCTCAGTGTCATCTTCATCTTTTATGTCCAAATGACAAAGTAAAAGCCAAGTATAATGCATGTTACTCATACAGATTTCTTTGTACCACCGTAAAGCTCAATCCTACCCTGATTCTGGGATCTGAAAATTGTCAGTTCAATGCATCTAAAAAATAACTTGGTTGATTTAAACAAAGATTCCCTTTAAAAGTAATGCTATCAGTGTCAGTGGAAAAGCTTGACTTTTTCATTATGTTCATCACTAGTTCACTCAATAGTAATTCCCAGAAAGGCTCCAAATAGCTGCATCCAGCTCACTGCCCAAATCCATACATATGTTTTGTGCCAAAATTAATATATACAGCTACTGCTTATAAGGAAGCTTTGAGAATAAAAATAGTGGTAAAGATTCTGACAGTACTCTCTATTTTCACTACCATCCATTTTCCTGTTTGATGGTTGCCTATAATTTATTATTCTGTTAGGAATACATTCCATTTTAGCCAGTGATCTTATTAGCTTTCTCAGACTAAAGAAGGATAGCCTGATTTAATACTGGTAAGGGACACATCCAAGGAAAAACATATTGCCAAGTGAAGAGGAGGTGTGCTTCTTTGCACACAACACTATTCCAATGACTCTGCTAGACAGCCCTGAAGATAAATATTTTTGGACGAAGAATCTCCCAGAGGAAAAGTCAAATGGAAGTTCTGACTTGGTGGTTTTACTAAAAATCTTGTAAAAGACACCAAGAGAAAATGATAGTAATTTTGTCTCCAAGTTGAGTTCCCCAAGTGACATAAACAGTCTAGCTAAAACAACCTCCAGTCTCACCTCTCCACAGTTCTCTCTGCCTCCTAGCCTCAACTATTCTGTGCTGCTTCGCTGTGCCATCAGAACAGCTGCCACAGCTCATTCTCCATGCAGCCAGAGGACAGAGAAGCACTTCCTTTTCCAGAATGTACTCCAAAATTTATGCATTAAATGTATTAGACTATATTAAATCAATGCAACTTCAGGAACTGGCTAATTACAACTAGAAAGTTTTTAAATTTAATAAACAGAAAAATAATCAGCATTTCCAAAGCTACCATGGCAACATTGTAAGAACGAAACACTGACTATCCCCTATAAATGACAGAAAACCCAATCAATCAGTATTCCTTCTCTCCTCCCAGAGCCCCATACGCTTAATTCTCCCCAGTCCTCAAAGGGATGGCTTGTACTATTACTAAAACCCAAAACACAATGTAAACACAAAGCCCATTAAAAGATAAGCAATGCTTCACATGCACACAATTTGTAAAATAACTTCAATTTGAAGAAGAGCTTTGGATGTGGTCAGATTTACCCATAGTAAGCAGAGTTATAGTATTCCTCCTACAAAGGAATGCTGAAAAAATATACTTTTAACAGTGAAAATGGGCATGGAAGAATTCTTCTAAATAAGGCATTCAAATTTTATGATGATTTTAGCCTAGTGAAATCTGCAATTCATCAGAGAGTTGATTTTTTTAAAAAAATGCCAGAGACATGAAGCACTGAAAAAAAGCTCTGAGACAGAGTAAGATCATCTACTAGCAGAAGGCAAAAAGCTTCTAACAGAAAAAACACAAACTTAGCAATGCACCAAACAATATTTTCTATGAACAAAAAAACATGGACTCAGAGCAATAATCCCAATTTAGATTATTTCTATTATTGCTGTAATAAAAATACTTTGTCTTTGAAAGGACAAAGTGCTACATAAGTATGTAGTAAGAAATCTTCGTGAACTTTGTACTTGGAAACTGCTACCCCCACTTTTAAGGGTGATAGAAATGCTAAGCCATCTGCCCCAAGGCCAGCTGAGACACAGAGGTGGGAACACTACGAAGTGTGCTTTCAGTCTCACATTCAAACACCAAACACTTCAGAAGCAGCCAATGGCTCTGCTTTAGTTTTTTTAAGATTATGATAATCTAAATACTTGCTCCTTTTCTTGGGTCGCTCTGATACTACCTCTGTGAACAGCAAAGATCAGTAAGCAGGGAAAAAAGTCTCGCCCTAACAGGTTTTTTTTCCAGTGCCCCAAGTCACGCCTGTGATTTCATCATGTAACTTAACAGAAATACTTTTTTCAAAGTCAGAATGTCATAAGTATTCTTCTGCTACCTTAATACAGCAGCACACAGGGAGTATTTTTCTGCTTGCTTCAACAGATTTACGCAATGTCATAAATCACTGTACCATAATAGTTCACTTTTAACAAGTAAAAAATGTCTGACACTTTGAGTGTTACTATAATTTTTTATGGCTGAAAGTGTACAGAGATCAAAGTTTTCTGGTTTTTTTAGGCTTGCTCTATACATTCAGACAAGTCTGTGACAGAGGGGGTTTTGCCACATGTTTAAATGTAAAGTCTCAAGGATGTCAGGAGGAGAAAAGAAAATTACTGAATGTCACGTTTCCAGCCCTTCTTATGACCAAAGCAGAAGCAGACATACTTTTAAAAGAAAACTTTCTAGTAACATTATATGCTGCTACTGTTCCCTCTGGATTCCCCTGCAAATGAGTCAAGATCTTGAGAGATACTTTACTGGTAACACACATAAACAGATAAATAAATTATCACAGGCTGAGGACAATTTAAACATCTGGGAGCCAGCTCAGGCCTGTCAAGCAAGTCACAGGCACTCAGGGACAGGAAAGATCAATCTTCAGCCCCTGATTTCTGTGCCAGAGAGCAGGAACTACATCACCCACCCTCTATACAAGTAAAATTGTGTATTTATAAAATAATCCACTGTGCTTCTGTATTCAAAGACCTTTTTATTAATTTTTTTACAGGGAAAAAAAAAACCCTATCTCAAAATACAAGAATTTAAACTACCCACAGGTTTGCCTCAACTATCTGGTCAATAAGGCATTTTAATTTTCCAATGAAGTGGCTGTGTAGTAAGCTGAATTCCCAGAATCAAAATGGAATAGGATTTATAATTAAATGGAAAAAAACCTGCAAAAGCAATAGTTTTTAGTCTGCCAGACTGAACAATCTAATGTCCAAACAGTTACATTCACACACTGACTATAAGGATTGTTACTCAGATAGTCCCTGCAACCAATGTATATGGTCGACAGAAGACCAATAAATTAGCCAGCACAGTCCAACAGCTAGACCTGGGGATGAAGAGTTGTAAGTCCCAACTGTCACCTAGTAACAGTGACTATAGGGGAATTCACCTCAACTTTTCTTTGCCTCTTTTTTTTTTTTTCATGAGGATAACCCTTTCCTTCCTAAGTGACCAGAATCAATATATGTGAAGTTACAGATATTATCCACTGAGGATGTTTAAATTAAGACTTCAGACACATGAGCGCAACAGTTCTACTTCTCATGACTTCTGGCTGACAGAACTGAAACTCAGCTGCAGTTTGAATCTCTGCGTTGAAGCCCTCCAAGCCTGCTTTGCCAGTAGCAGAGATTCATTTGGAACTACTTAGTCACTTAGGATTTTACAAAACTTATTTTTATTTACTTCGAGACATCTTGATGAAAATGAAAATCAAACTGCAAATGGAGCCAGGATTTACACAGCATGCACGTTATAGTTTCTGCTATCTTTCACCCCATCAGTTCACCCTCAAAACCAGTAGTTACAGCACCAACACAGGAAAAAAGTAAGTCAACTTGCACAACTTCCCACACTTGGTTGCTCTGCTTTTGCAGTGCAGTGCAGTGCAATGCTTGAAACATTCACTGTAGACAACAGAGTATAGAGAAGGCATAAGTGGCTAAAAAACCCCTTCCTTCAGTTGTCTTCTCTTCATTCCATCTTCCACACTTCATGTACTAACCCGTTACTCTTAACCTGGCAAGAGAAGTATTTCCTTTCTAGAGACACACGATAGATTAAACCTCTGTCTCCACCACTTAACATCTTTGTTATTACATCAGCATACCTACATTACCACAAGTCATTTACTGAGTCCAAAAGCTCATTACTTGCTAACAGTCTCTTTCACTTGAGAGGGAGAAAGAGCCATATTTTACCACATATGTATTAACATTAAAGAAATACTTCCAACATCTCTTAAAAAAATATCTTCTTAACAACTACACTTACGATTGTTAAAAAATGAGACAACTATCACATTTAGTTTGCTTTCTACCCTTTAGAAAAGTGATTTTCATTATTTCACTCCATTTAGGTAATAATTTCATGTTCTAGCTCTCATATATGAAGCCCGGTGTTGTTTTGCTCTTGATATTGCAGGTACAGGTGTGACTAAATAATTAAAACCTTTCTTAAAATATATTGTATTTTCTAGTGTTCCTGATCTATTTACAAATATAGCATGTTTGTCTTACATACACACATATAACAGTAATGTCAGATTTTGGACTGTGTCGTATACTCAAATACAAATGGAAGGCAAAAATTAACTCATTCAAACCAAAGTTTTGGAAGGAAGACAACAGTGTTGCTTTAGGTAAGGGCATTTTTTAACAGCAACTAAAATGCCTGTGAAGACTTTCACCTCTTTGTACTGCTACGAGTAACTGATTTGGACAAACTCTCTCTTTTGTTGATGCCCTTATTACAAAAGCAGCTGTTGAAGCTTTGCCATTTCAAGCATATGACACGCGTCCCCTCCTTGACATGCTTCAGTTCCTCTTTTCATTGCACTCCACCTTACTTTGGCATGTCCTCAAGAGGCCTCCTCTGTTCTCAACACTTAATCTCTGAAACTTGTCTTGTCCATCAAGACACATTAACTTGGACAGCACTTCTGATTTTTCTGAAAACTGTTCAGAAGAATGCAGTTCACAGTCTCCAGACTGCTTCCATTACACCAATTACACAACATTTTCTGGAGTCTCTTGGCATCACTGTGCCAGTTACCGAAAATTTTCTGTTAGCTGACAGTTTTTTCCATAAAGTAATGACTATTTGTAAAAATATTTCAGTCAGCATTGAACTGTTACGGTAAAGAGATGCAACAATCTGAATCGGCAGTCTGTGTAGTGATTCCTCCACTTTACATACACACGCGATGTTGAAGTGGAAAGTCTAAGAGACAGGAAAAATCCAATTCTCTTACCTCATAGCCAAACTGGAGTTCATCTGAGGTTAGCATAATGATATCATCATCAATAGCCAATACTGCTTCTGTTTCAATCTCATCATAGGGGAAGAAGCGGTTACTAAGTTTGTTTTCGGCAGTCCTAACAACTTTCAGGGGAACACGAATCTTTGGCCAGAGGGAATCTAGAGAGAAAAATTAAAAGAAATGGAATTCAATATTATACTTTGTTTCTTAGCTTCTCTTTACTCTTTTTTTTCTTCACATCTTAAACAAAAGCATCCTAATGGCCAATTTACACCTGACTTTCAGTTAGGCATACATGTAAGCATACGAAAGCAAGAAATAGAAGCTCAGCTACATTTCCCTCTTTTGCTCTCTACAGAGAGCTTCACAGACAGCTATATGGGGGATAGTTGGCCCAAACCAGCAGTCTGCAACAATCACGTAAGGAGAGTCAGTGATACTATGTATTGGTTTAGGACACACAGCAAGAAAAGATATTTTACTCAACTGGAACTATTTAAAAGAATTTGAAGCAGCAGTATACAATCACTGACTGCAAGTCTAGGGTCACAAAGAATTTGAAAAAGAATGCTAATTCTACCCAGTGCTGAGACAAATAAATTTTATTATTTCAATTAAAAATCTAGATACACCTAAAATGTTAATCTCTACTGACAGTTAAGGAGTAGATTCTGTATATGAGTAATTTATTTCAAAGTCCTAAGTGACAGTGATAAATTAAGCTAGATAAATGCAAAAGGATTCTACTTGTGCCCTACAGAATCCTTACAAGTAGAATAGAGCACTGGAGTACATAATCACAAAAATTCACACGTTAAATGATGCTTTAACTAGTAACAAAAAAACCTGTAGTTACAAAACTGGATACAATTCACTCTACAATGAGATTAGATTTCCATTTTGTGCTATGTATTTAAAATGCAGCACCGTAAGTGTCACATTCACAGTTTCAGCACGGCTTCTGTATCTATTCAAAAATTTTCAAAATCCTTTTCTATTGCTACAAATGTATAACTGCAGGCATAGGTATAGAGCACCAAGCTAAAAGATACACAACTAAGGACCCAATATTAAACATTAATTCTAAATGCACATATTTAACCATATACATTTTCTAGCACAAAGCTTAACAGTAGTCATTATTACTGTACAATGTATCTCGAAAGCACCAATTCATCAAAAAGTAGTTTAATTAATAGCTAAACAAATAGCTATACAAGTACAAATATGATTTGTTGGTTTCCTCCAGCTTTCACGACAAACATATATTTTAATGAAAATTTGAGAGGAAAGAGAGCGTTGTAAGATAAGTCTAAGTACCTTGTCACCAGTAGATAGATGAACACTTGAGTTTCTTGCACTGGTGAAATGGAGGGGATGGCAATGGTATATGATACGAAAAATAAGCAAAAATATTTTAAATCAACTACAAAGTGACTGCTCAGAGAATTTATAAGATGTTCTCTGTGTCAAACGAAAATGTGTGTAAGGATACGCCTTGAGGGAGGTGATCCTTCCCTTCTACTCAGCACTGGTGAGGCCACACCTGGAGTACTGTGTCTAGTTCTGGGCTCCTCAGTACAAGAGAGACATGGACAGCAAAGAGCCACAAAGATGATGAAGAGACTGGAACATCCTTCCTATGAGGAAAGGCTGAGAGAGCTGGGTCTGTTTAGGCTCTTTTCACTGGTGCCCAGCGACAGAACCAGACGCAATGGGGGCAAACTGAAATGCAAGAGGTTCCCTCTGAACAGGAGGAAACTTTTTCACTGTGAGGGTGACTGAGCACTGGCACAGGTTGCCCAGGGAGGCAGTGGAGTCTCCATCCTTGGAGATATTCAAAAGCCGTATGGAGATGGTCTTGTGCAACCTGCTCCAGTGCTCCTGCTTGAGCAGGGGCTTGGACAGGATGATCTCCAGAGATCCCTCCTAAGCTCAGCCACTCTGTGATATGAACTGCCACTGGCCCTGAAGCCACTGAAATTTTCATCAGTGATCTGAAACACATATAAATTGCCAGTGCAATTTGCAAGTGACACAAAGCCTGGAGACATGAAAAACAGTGAGGACAGTAAGGTCATACAGAGCACTCTGGGCTGCTTACTAAACTAGGTGCATCTGAACAAAAACCAGACTGATGCAACTCAACACACTGTTAAACAGTAGGACCAAGGCAACTTTTTCCCTAAAAGCAGCTGCTGACAAGGATTAAGGGGTCAGAATGGACCTTAGTTCTCAGCATGCTGCTGGGGCAAAATGGAATTGCGTTATGTAGATGGGCAAGTAGTGAGAAATGGGGCAGGGGGAGTGGAGGACAATTTTCCCTGTATGCAGACACAGTCAGCTAGATGCTAAAATACTGTTTGATTCTCGTGTTTGTATTTTTCAAAGCATGTTAAAACACTGGAAATGGTGTAGGAAAGAACCACTTATTTGAAGGCAGGGGAAAATGCCTTATGGTGGAACTTGGAGATCGATCTGTTTAGCTTATTAAAGGAAAGAATGAAAAGTGGATTTGATTAACATGTACACAGGAAGAAAAATGCCACATATCTTGAACCAACTAGAGAAAGACATAACAAAAAATAATGACTGGAATCTGAAGCCAGGCAAATTCAAAGTATAAATACGGCAGACATTTTTAATAGTAACAGTGGTTAACCTCTGGAGGAAGTTAACAAGGACATCAGCTGATTCTGTGCATCTTGCCTTTGAACAAGACTGGGTATTATTATAGAATATGCGCTCAAGTTAGAGAGAAGTCACTAGATTGAAAAGAAGGGTGAGGTGGTGACTCATGACTTACAGGTCAACCCACATGATCTTACCGTCCCTCCTGCCTCAAACTGCATGAGCCTATAAACACGTACAAGTAAAACTTGCTCCCAGGAATGAGTGTCCACATCCTCGTTGCCACTGGGCCTCTCAGATTTAACAGCTCACACAATGTTCTTAAACAAAACACAGAGCTGCACACTGCTTAAAGACACCAGAGTCCAAATACTCTTCACTGGGAAAACAAAGTAGTCTCTCCAGACCACACCAAGAGTCTTCAAAAGTCAGTTTTTCTTGGAGCTGTATTTTAGAAAGAAGGCTTGGCACGCATGGGTGGCCAAAAGAAAGGAGAAGAAATACAGGGCGATATTTACTAGCAAAATTTGTATTCAGTTTCCTACCCTGAGGTTTTTCCTGTGAGATTGAAAAAGCGACTGTAAAATCTACCTTTATCTGGGTGGTCTTGCAGACCACGGCCTGTAGTTGACATGTATGCAGCTTCTTGTCCAGTTTTACCAACGACTTTTCCTTCTAGTAGAAGGCAAGAGGCATCACCCCAAACACCGCTGCATGCTTCAGTAGCTTGTAATATTGATTAGTAGTCAGTTGAAAGGATTTAACCATCCTACCAATGGGCTCCAATAGAAGTCACAGTCACCCAGCAGCTGGGAAAACACAGCAAGTGGCTTGGGGCCACAACAAAGAGCCATCGATTCCACTTACAGTGCAATGAGCTCATTCTCAGCATTGCAAGGTCTTTGAAATCCCCTGCTTGAATCATAATCTGAAACAATGATTCCAGTAGGACACCACTGAAATTCAAAAATTTTCATCTTACTAGTCATCCTAGCTTCAGGAGGAGGTAACACTGTGTGCTGGTTTTGGCTGAGATAGAGTTAATTCTCTTCATAGTAGCTAGTACAGGGCTGTGTTTTGGATTTGTGCTGACAACAGCGTTGATAACACAGGGATGTTTTTGTCACTGCTGAGCAGCACTTACACAGAGCCAAGGCCTTTTCTGCTTCTCACACCACCCCACCAGCGAGTAGGCTGGGGGTGCACAAGAAGTTGGGAGGGGACACAGCCGGGACAGCTGACCCCAACTGACCAAAGGGACATTCCATACCACATGACATCATGCTCAGCATATAAAGCTGGGGAAAGAAGGAGGAAGTGGGGGGGGTATACGTTCGAAGTGATGGCGTTTGTCTTCCCAAGTCACCTTTACAAGTGATAGAGCCCTGCTTTCCTGGAGATGGCTGAACACCTGCCTGCCCAGGGGAAGTGGTGAATGAATTCCTGGCTTTGCTTTGCTTGCACGTGCAGCTCTTGCTTTACCTATAACTGCCTTTATTGCAACCCACAAGTTTTCTCACTTTTACGCTTCTGATTCTCTCCCCCATCCCACCACAGGGGAGTGAGTGGGCAGCTGCGTGGTGCTTCATTGCCAGCTGGGGCTAAACCATGACACACTGAACAACTGGAAGTCTTTATTGTGAATTAGTACTCTTAAGTCAACTCACTGCTTTCTTACTGGTTTGCCATACAACATGTGAACATCCGTGTTTATAAGACAGTTACGTGTACCTCACAAAGACACATCATGGCCTCATAAAGACTGTAGACTGTTTAATGTTTGCAGGCTACTTAAAGACCTTAGGCTAACTGCCTATAATTATCCAAATTTAATCCCACTATTGGTATCAAATAATTTTAAGCAGCTTGCTAGATCCCCAAGAGACTCCACTGTCACAAATGTTTCAGTAGCAATCAGAATTGCCATATGCATGTAAGCATCAGTAAATTTGTATTTATAAGTATCAACAAAATTTACTTTTTATACATGTTAAGTACTCTTTTATTCAGGCTTTTCTTCCTTTCACATCCACTACACACACACACACAAAAAAACCCCGACAATCAAATTGCAATGAAGCTGTTGTTGCAGTGCAGGAATACACTGAAATAACAATTGAAACAGAAAACTCACTAGGATTGAAAAATAATAATTCAGAAAAGCAAGCAAGCATGGACATTTTAAACTTCTAGCTCTTGGGAAAATCAACTGTTTCATAGCTTAATAACAGACATGCCACTTGCATAAAAATATGGTAACAGAAGAAAAAGTAATGAAAAGCGTATGAAAAATTGAAGTGTAATCTAATTACAATCAGCATGCATCTCAGTAAAATGGATGCATCTCCTGTTAAATCCACATGATTTACTAAGTTCTTGGAAAGTCTCTCAAAATGACCAATTCTCAAAAAGAG